ACTCCAAAGGGTCTAGTGTCATGCCACACGGCCCCTGAATATCTGATCTCGGCCCCTGGCTCCTGCACGCCTCTCTGCTCCGCTCTCTTTTATTTATGTTTGCTGCGACTGGTCTGAATGTACTCTTCAGGGTAACAGAAATAGAAGTGCAAGGCCAGCAAAATGGTGTTGACCTCTTGTTCTCGGGGCTCCGGGAAGCCAAAACTTCTTCAATGTGAAGTGAGATTTAAGGAAGCCCTTTTGAATTGTCTAGCCCACCGCAGACAGGTCTTTTGACCCATAAAGAAGCAAAGGCACTTCAGGGGGCCTGAACTCTTGCTGTGTCTCATCAAAAAGAGGCCAAATTCAGCTTTCAGACAGAACTACAAAACAGAAAGCAGTCATGGTGCTAAATAAAACAGTTTTAAGACTCAATGCGAACAAGAGACACTAAATATTGATTAAGAACAAACTTTGGGACTTTAGGAGACAATTTTTTTGTTCTTTTGAAGGATGAAATACCTGTTTGCTGGGTCAAACATAGATTTTATGGGCAAATACAACAGCAGGTAAAGTCTACACTGGACGTGCTGTATGTTTTTGATTTACTAGAAAGTTCATAAGAGTTATTCATTTGGGAACCGGACTACATTTATGGGGTTAGATTTGTTGCTTATTTACAAACAAATCATCACAAACACAACTCTGCCTGGCATTCATTTGTGGATTACAATCATTTATGATTCAGTAAAAAGAATCAGCACAAAAGAGTCATTCACTCAGGAATCAGACTATACAGTTTGTGCTATGTAAAATAACTGTTTCATAAGAGTCATTCATTTAGGAAATAGGACACAGTATATTTTTGAATTATTACCTAAAAAAACAGTAATTTGCACAGAAATCAGACTACAATGGTCACTCCGTATGATTTGACTGATACACTAATAAGTGTTGTACTATATGGTTTTGATTCACTAAAAAGAAATGGCTTTAAAAAAAAAGAACAGTGTTGGGGAAAGTTACTTTTAAAAGTAATGCATTACAATATTGCGTTACTCCCTAAAAAAGTAACCAATTACGTTACTTAGTTACTTTTTATGGAAAGTAATGCGTTATATTACTTTTGCGTTACTTTCGCGTTACTTTTTAAATATAAGCAGGACTTGATTGTTTTTAATATAAGAAGTTCTATTTATAGCAAATATAAAAGCCCTTTCACACCAAAAAGTGTAATGAATAAACCTCAGGCTGAAGCAAAAGTAAATTCACATCTGTACAGTAGAACGCAGAAGAAGAAAGTTCAACACTCTTCAGCAATAAAAAAGAAGATTCACATCTCATGCAGGAGCTCGGTGCCGGTCCCAGGTGTGCCGTAAGAGGCTATATTTAAAGCTCGCCTCCTTCCCCAGCGGCCTGAGCGGGCCCTTGTGTTACAAGCACATAAAAAGCATGTTGACTCACTGTAATAAACTAATGCAAATTGTGCAGCGGCGTGAAGGATTGCACAATAAAGATCCATACATCACTGCGCACGGAGGTCTGGCAGCTGCACACAGCCCACACGCGCAATGCGCCGCCCGCTAATTTACCACTAATTTACCGTGAAGCATAAAAGTTGTTATTTTTTCATTAACTATACTTTCGGCCAAAAACGATTCCCATCTCTCGTCCATCTCTGACCGCCGAGACGCTCTCATGAACAAAAGTTTGCTCAGAGCAACAACAAACATTTGCCTTTGCGTTTGTGCATCGACTGTGACAATTGGAGCTGATATATCCTTAGGAAATGTCAGTGGATTCAATCAAAATGCTTCCATCGGAATCTGGAAGGGGGTGAAATTTAAAAAGAGAGAGTGAGACGGACAGAAAGATGCATCCGTGGCTCAATGCTCCAGAGATGTTTATGAACTCTGTGCAGTCGTGAGCCGTTTTATAGCGGAGAGAAACTTGTGGCGGTGCATGAGGGTTTTTTTAAGCAGCAGCACTGTCACACATGGCTCATCCATTTCAGACAGTCACTGCACCCCATCAGTACTCCAAAGGGTCTAGTGTCATGACACACGGCCCCTGAATATCTGATCTCGGCCCCCGGCTCCTGCACGCCTCTCTGCTCCGCTCTCTTTTATTTATGTTTGCTGCGACTGGTCTGAATGTATTCTTCAGGGTAACAGAAATAGAAGTGCAAGGCCAGCAAAATGGTGTTGACCTCTTGTTCTCGGGGCTCCGGGAAGCCAAAACTTCTTCAATGTGAAGTGAGATTTAAGGAAGCCCTTTTGAATTGTCTAGCCCACCGCAGACAGGTCTTTTGACCCATAAAGAAGCAAAGGCACTTCAGGGGGCCTGAACTCTTGCTGTGTCTCATCAAAAAGAGGCCAAATTCAGCTTTCAGACAGAACTACAAAACAGAAAGCAGTCATGGTGCTAAATAAAACAGTTTTAAGACTCAATGCGAACAAGAGACACTAAATATTGATTAAGAACAAACTTTGGGACTTTAGGAGACAATTTTTTTGTTCTTTTGAAGGATGAAATACCTGTTTGCTGGGTCAAACATAGATTTTATGGGCAAATACAACAGCAGGTAAAGTCTACACTGGACGTGCTGTATGTTTTTGATTTACTAGAAAGTTCATAAGAGTTGTCACACATGGCTCATCCATTTCAGACAGTCACTGCACCCCATCAGTACTCCAAAGGGTCTAGTGTCATGCCACACGGCCCCTGAATATCTGATCTCGGCCCCTGGCTCCTGCACGCCTCTCTGCTCCGCTCTCTTTTATTTATGTTTGCTGCGACTGGTCTGAATGTACTCTTCAGGGTAACAGAAATAGAAGTGCAAGGCCAGCAAAATGGTGTTGACCTCTTGTTCTCGGGGCTCCGGGAAGCCAAAACTTCTTCAATGTGAAGTGAGATTTAAGGAAGCCCTTTTGAATTGTCTAGCCCACCGCAGACAGGTCTTTTGACCCATAAAGAAGCAAAGGCACTTCAGGGGGCCTGAACTCTTGCTGTGTCTCATCAAAAAGAGGCCAAATTCAGCTTTCAGACAGAACTACAAAACAGAAAGCAGTCATGGTGCTAAATAAAACAGTTTTAAGACTCAATGCGAACAAGAGACACTAAATATTGATTAAGAACAAACTTTGGGACTTTAGGAGACAATTTTTTTGTTCTTTTGAAGGATGAAATACCTGTATGCTGGGTCAAACATAGATTTTATGGGCAAATACAACAGCAGGTAAAGTCTACACTGGACGTGCTGTATGTTTTTGATTTACTAGAAAGTTCATAAGAGTTATTCATTTGGGAACCGGACTACATTTATGGGGTTAGATTTGTTGCTTATTTACAAACAAATCATCACAAACACAACTCTGCCTGGCATTCATTTGTGGATTACAATCATTTATGATTCAGTAAAAAGAATCAGCACAAAAGAGTCATTCACTCAGGAATCAGACTATACAGTTTGTGCTATGTAAAATAACTGTTTCATAAGAGTCATTCATTTAGGAAATAGGACACAGTATATTTTTGAATTATTACCTAAAAAAACAGTAATTTGCACAGAAATCAGACTACAATGGTCACTCCGTATGATTTGACTGATACACTAATAAGTGTTGTACTATATGGTTTTGATTCACTAAAAAGAAATGGCTTTAAAAAAAAAGAACAGTGTTGGGGAAAGTTACTTTTAAAAGTAATGCATTACAATATTGCGTTACTCCCTAAAAAAGTAACCAATTACGTTACTTAGTTACTTTTTATGGAAAGTAATGCGTTATATTACTTTTGCGTTACTTTCGCGTTACTTTTTAAATATAAGCAGGACTTGATTGTTTTTAATATAAGAAGTTATATTTAAAAACAGTAATTTGCACAGAAATCAGACTACAATGGTCACTCCGTATGATTTGACTGATACACTAATAAGTGTTGTACTATATGGTTTTGATTCACTAAAAAGAAATGGCTTTAAAAAAAAAGAATCATTAGTTTGGAAAGCAGACTACAGAGTTTCACTATGATTTTAATTCACTTAAAAGAATTGGCTCATAAGAATCATTTGTTCAGGAATCAGACTATATTTGTCATGCTGTATGTTTTTGATTCACTAAAAAATAACTGGGTCAAAAGAATCATTTGTTTGGGAATTGGAGATTTATTTATTCGGGAATCAGACTCTCAGTTTGTGCTACGTTTTTTGAATCACTAAAAAGAAGTTTCATGATCATATTTGCTGTATGATTTCAATTCCCTTACAAGAGTCAATTGTTCAGGGTTGAGACTATATTCATGCTTTATATTTTTGATTGATTCACCAAAAAGTAATGCTTCATGAGTATAATTTGTTCAGGAATCCGATTACATTGGTTGTACTGTATGTCTTTCATTTGGTTAAAACAAATATGTATTATATTCACTAAAAATAACCACTTCATAAGAGTCATTAATTCGGTAATCACACTACACTGACCGCTCTGTATGTTCACTATTCACTAAAATGAATCAGGTCATAAGAATGATTAATCCAAGAATTGTACTACAATTGTTCTGCTGTATGTTTTTGATTAACTAAAAAAAAGAACCAGTTCATAAAAGTCACTAAGTAATGACAGATACTGTATTTTCATTGTTTCATTTAAAGGGATAGATCACTCAATAATGACAATTCTGTCATCATTCCCACTCCTTCATGTCATTCCAAACCTGTATGAACTACTGTTAAACATAAAATAAGATATATTGAAAAATATGGGTAAACAAACAGTTGACAGTTGCCATTGACTTCCATTGTATTTTTTTTTCTATACTATGGAAGTCAATGGCTACCGTCAACTGTTTGATTACTCACATTCTTCAAAACATCATTTTTGGATGAACTATCCCTTTAAGATTGGAAGGCAAAAGTTTGGTCCATTGTTTTTATGATATTTTTAGAGGACAAAATGTAGTCAAGGTACAGATTTGAAGCAGCTTCCTCGACATGCACATGTGAACATCTTTGCTGATCTTACCTGTACTCTACTGACTGGGTCCTTCTTGATCCACTTGATGACAGTCTCATAAACCAGCTCCTCGGCCTTGGTGTTCAGGCTGTCATTGGACAGGTAGTTAATCAGGTCTTCTTTGGAGATGCTGAGGATCTCGTCTTGTCCCGCCACATCGGGGAAGTTCTGCAGGGCGAAGGCCTTGGCCATGTTGTGGAGCTCCGTGCAGCACATGGCCTCGGCCATGGCCAGAACCCCCAGGCAGTTTGCTGCAGTCAGCTGCTTTTCTGAAGAAGAGAACAAGAGGCACTCACATCAATAAAAGATCACAACACTGAGGGGATGAGGCTCTAGCAAAGCTATCTGTGCTGTATATCTGGGAGGCTCCAGAGAAGGGACCCTGCTTAAGGTGCTCCGGAGACAAACAACAGAACAAATCAATTGAGCTCAGAGCAGCAGGTTGGGATGCTGTCCTGGTTTTTAACAAGGTAAGGAGTCTTTTTGTAAGTGGAGAGCCCTATTTTACACTGCAAGAGCTGAATAAGAGTCTGACACCATCTAAGAATCTAACCCTGGGTTGACAGTCTGAGTGGTTTCTTAAGAGACTCTTTTAATTAAATAAATTACATTTGAAAATATATCCAATTAGAACAGTTATTTTATATTGTAATAATATCACAATATTACTGTTTTTATTGTATTTTTTGATTAAGAAAAATGCATCTTTGGTGAGCATAAGAGATTTCTTTCAAATAATAATATATATATTAAAAATTAGTCTAGGCTTTTGAATGGTAGTATATATAATATCTTTAAATTATGTTTATTTGTGAGATAATATGATGTTATTAGCACAAAACATTGTTAATAAATTAAAATGACAAAAAATAAAAAAGGAAAAATATAAAAAGTTCTATAAATGTACACATTTAAAAATATTACAAAATATTTTTTTAAAAATGATATAAAAAAAAAAAGTTATATACAAATTTGAAATAACCAAAAAAAAAAAAAAACCTGTAACTGACATTGAAACTCATGCTTGCTGCAATGCAAAATGCTCATCTCTGACAACCCATCGACCAAAATCCAATCAGCAAATACCTCCAAGACTGCAAACAACAAGGACTGAACGGCTAAATCACTCTAAATCACTGATCCAGATTAACATAATAAATGTGGACCGCATGAAACCCCCGTGACATCGGCAGGTCTTACGCAACCCAATTTGTCGCCAATATAAAACAGAAGAGTACAAACTGTTGTAAAAATGGTTGAGTGAGCGCCTGGTGGAGGCAGATGGGCTTTTATTATGTCTGGGTCTTTGAAAGCTGGCCTGCAGCGTGCCATCGCCAATAAGCCAAACAGGCCACTCGTCTTCTTCCACTCTCGGAGGAAGGAAAAATGACTTTTTTAGGTGAGGTTTGTGCCAGAGGCTGTAAATGGCATGCCGCAGACAGACCGCAGAGCGAGGCTTATGCCCGATGCTGGCATGAGTTTACAGACACGCTCTGAGTCAACGGTGCTGTGTGTGGCATTACAAACAGCAGCGCTCACCACGAACACATGGGCTACACCTCGCTACCAATAGAATTTCAGCTGCTCTAACCTCTTTTTCTTAAACCTATTTTTAAAACATGCTGTGGTAATATGCGGTCCCTGAATTCCCAGACTGTGTGCTGTGAAGTTCGGCATTGAAATATATTTCCAAACCTGTGTTCCCCTTATTTCAACACACCCTCAGTTGACTTAATCAATTGTTTTGTACTTCAGCAATCAGATTTTTTGCCCAAAGGTACAAACCAATCCTCAACCTGATGTTTCTGAATGCATTACATTTGTTTGGGTCTTACAAGCACTTGCAAACATATGGAGCACTTCTGCAGACTCGAAAGAAACAAATCAATAGCTTTTGTTGGTATCCCTTTACTGCCTGATCAACTGACCTTTTAAACCAGAAGTTTGACTTCGTCCACTTTCTCTGTGCATATAGTATATCAATGGCAGCACAAACCTCAGCAGCATCACTACTGAACCATCCTGAGATGTTCCACTAGCATTATAAATGAGTGTTTCTTCAAGCAAAAGCATTGAGTTGATTTTTTTTTTATTACAGATTATTTTATTACAGACAATAACAGATTTATTTTCTGTTTGTTACAATGAAGGTCACATTGAATATGTCTGGAAAAACTTTTACTATGCTTTCGTCATTTATTTTTGCTGTTTGTTATTATTATTATTATTATTATTTTCAGATTTTTTATGTAAAGATTTTAT